AGTTAGTTAGTTAGTTAGTTAGTTAGTTAGTTAGTTAGTTAGTTAGTTAGTTAGTTAGTTAGTTAGTAGTTAGTTAGTTAGTTAGTTAGTTAGTTAGTTAGTTAGTTAGTTAGTTAGTTAGTTAGTTAGTTAGTTAGTTAGTTAGTTAGTTAGTTAGTTAGTTAGTTAGTTAGTTAGTTAGTTAGTTAGTTAGTTAGTTAGTTAGTTAGTTAGTTAGTTAGTTAGTTAGTTAGTTAGTTAGTTAGTAGTTAGTTAGTTAGTTAGTTAGTTAGTTAGTTAGTTAGTTAGTTAGTTAGTTAGTTAGTTAGTTAGTTAGTTAGTTAGTTAGTTAGTTAGTTAGTTAGTTAGTTAGTTAGTTAGTTAGTTAGTTAGTTAGTTAGTTAGTTAGTTAGTAGTAGTTAGTTAGTTAGTTAGTTAGTTAGTTAGTAGTAGTTAGTTAGTTAGTAGTAGTTAGTTAGTTAGTTAGTTAGTTAGTTAGTAGTTAGTTAGTTAGTTAGTTAGTTAGTTAGTTAGTTAGTTAGTTAGTTAGTTAGTTAGTTAGTTAGTTAGTTAGTTAGTTAGTTAGTTAGTAGTTAGTTAGTTAGTAGTTAGTTAGTTAGTTAGTAGTTAGTTAGTTAGTTAGTTAGTTAGTTAGTTAGTAGTTAGTTAGTTAGTTAGTTAGTTAGTTAGTTAGTAGTTAGTTAGTTAGTTAGTTAGTTAGTTAGTTAGTTAGTTAGTTAGTTAGTTAGTTAGTTAGTTAGTTAGTTAGTTAGTTAGTTAGTTAGTTAGTAGTTAGTTAGTTAGTTAGTAGTTAGTAGTAGTTAGTTAGTTAGTTAGTTAGTTAGTTAGTTAGTTAGTTAGTTAGTTAGTTAGTTAGTTAGTTAGTTAGTTAGTTAGTTAGTTAGTTAGTTAGTTAGTTAGTTAGTTAGTTAGTTAGTTAGTTAGTTAGTTAGTTAGTAGTAGTTAGTTAGTTAGTTAGTTAGTTAGTTAGTTAGTTAGTTAGTTAGTTAGTTAGTTAGTTAGTTAGTTAGTTAGTTAGTTAGTTAGTTAGTTAGTAGTTAGTTAGTTAGTTAGTTAGTTAGTAGTTAGTTAGTTAGTTAGTTAGTTAGTAGTTAGTTAGTTAGTAGTTAGTAGTTAGTTAGTTAGTTAGTTAGTTAGTTAGTTAGTTAGTTAGTTAGTAGTTAGTTAGTAGTTAGTTAGTTAGTTAGTTAGTTAGTTAGTTAGTTAGTTAGTTAGTTAGTTAGTAGTTAGTTAGTTAGTTAGTTAGTTAGTTAGTTAGTTAGTTAGTAGTTAGTTAGTTAGTTAGTTAGTTAGTTAGTTAGTTAGTTAGTTAGTTAGTAGTTAGTTAGTTAGTAGTTAGTTAGTTAGTTAGTTAGTTAGTTAGTTAGTAGTTAGTTAGTTAGTTAGTTAGTTAGTTAGCTCTCTGAAATAGTCCGTTCATATTTCTTTCCCACTGTTGCATTACATCTTGTCATAGGAAACTTATAATTGAAATTTTTAGACACACTCTATATTTCTTGATATCCCGACTCTCTTCTTTATTCTTTTATTATCAACTTAAAGTTTACAATTTATTAATATCTAAGCAAAAGAGAGAACTATGTAAAAAACAGAACTGCTCAGCTAAACTAATTTAAACAGTCATGAATTTTTATGCAAATTCTTTAACAAACCCAAAATGAAATAAACAAACAAAACTTTTTCTAACTCCACTGGAATAAAAGAAAAAAGAAAGGAAATGCTCTCACACTTTCATAATAAACAAATAAACATAGATTCTCACACTTACAGCTAAACTGTTGTATGAGCAAAAAAATATGGTCTTAAATCTTTAAGGGCAACTGCACAAACAAACTCTCATTTATGTGGAAAAAAAGAAACACATACCGGCAACAACAACAACAGTATTTACTTACAACCACCCACAACCCCCCAGAGATGTTCTTACTAACTTAAATTTAAGTTGGATTAAAAAATTATGTAAATTAACTTACATTTATTGTAGTGTAAACATCATTGTTAGCCGTAGGAGTAAGAGTAAACAGTTGTGATGTATTTACATATATGTATGTGTTTTTTTCCACACACATGCTTTCAAAAGAAAATTGTGTTTAAGTGAGTGTCTGTGATATGTTTAAAGATACTTCTTAAAGGAAGCTGCTACTTCGTTTTGTATTATTTCCGGTTTCCGTTTGTCTTCCTTTACAGTAGACTAACAAATGTTGTTGTCGTTTTTATGTTTTTTTTTTTTTTTTGTAAATTGTATTTTTCTTTTTAGTATTTATAGCAAATGTTTGCTGCTGTTGGGTCTTCAGTGTGTCTTATTAGATTTTTTTTAACAATCAGTGAGCAAATTTACATAATTTGTCAATTGTTTTCAAAATTACTTTAAACATTTTAATTTTAATTGTTTTGTTCTTTGTTTTGATAAGTTGTGAGACTTGTTGGTAATATGATTTTAAATTGTTTTACTTTTAGTTGTTACTACTTTGTTTTTTCGGTCGCAAATACTTTTTTAAGTTTTGTTGCAAAATAAAGTTTTTTGTAACCGGGGGACCAAGTTGTTCTGGAAAAACAACAAAACGGAAACTCATTTTGTTTCGTTGTAACAATTAATTGAGATTTATTGGATTTTAATAGAGGTGGTGGACTACAAATTTTAATTTTAGTTTCAAGCAGTAAAAAGCTTAAATTTAAAGAAGAATTTAATTTTTTATGAAAAACAGATTTTTATTAATAATTTAAATTTTTACGAGAAAATTTGAATTTTAAGCAAAAATATTAATTTTTAATGTAAATTTTTAATTTTTGCTAAAAATTTGAATTGAAGTTTTGCGTAACCCTGCTTTAACGACATGTACCTGCAATAATTCCGTTAATTTGCTGCATTCGAATTATAAAATTGGACCTGGCAACATCTTAGAGTCACTGCTTAATGAACTATACGCCTTCAATTTAAATTTCACCATTTCAGTGTAGAGTATATAATATTGAAGGCAACAACCAGACAGTTTCAGTACAGACAATTACCTTTAACGTATGATAATACAGTTCAATATACTGTCTTACCGTAAGCTAACAAGCAACTCTTCTACTAACTAACAAACTAACAAACTAACAAACTAACAAACTAACAAACTAACAAACTACAACTACAAACTAACAAACTAACAAACTAAACAAACTAACAAACTAACAAACTAACAAACTAACAAACTAACAAACTAACAAACTAACAAACTAACAAACTACTAACTACAAACTAACACTACCAAACTAACAAACTAACAAACTAACAAACCTAACAAACTAACAAACTAACAAACTAACAAACTAACAAACTAACAAACTAACAAACAACAAACTAACAACTAACACAACTAACAAACTACAACAACAAACAACAAACAAACAAACTAACAACAACTAACTAACTAACTAACTAACTAACTAACTAACTAACTAACTAACTAACTAACTAACTAACTAACTAACTAACTAACTACTAACTAACTAACTAACTAACTACTACTAACTAACTACTACTAACTAACTAACTAACTAACTAACTACTAACTAACTAACTAACTAACTAACTAACTACTACTAACTAACTAACTACTAACTAACTAACTAACTAACTAACTAACTAACTACTACTAACTAACTACTAACTACTAACTAACTAACTAACTAACTAACTAACTACTAACTAACTAACTAACTAACTAACTAACTAACTACTAACTAACTAACTAACTAACTAACTAACTAACTAACTAACTAACTAACTAACTAACTAACTAACTAACTAACTAACTAACTAACTAACTAACTACTAACTAACTAACTACTACTAACTAACTAACTAACTAACTAACTAACTAACTACTAACTAACTAACTAACTAACTAACTAACTAAACTACTAACTAACTAACTAACTAACTAACTAACTAACTAACTAACTAACTAACTAACTAACTAACTAACTAACTAACTAACTAACTAACTACACTAACTACTAACTACTAACTAACTAACTAACTAACTACTAACTAACTAACTAACTAACTAACTAACTAACTAACTAACTAACTAACTAACTAACTACTACTAACTAACTAACTAACTAACTAACTAACTAACTAACTAACTAACTAACTAACTAACTACTAACTAACTAACTAACTAACTACTAACTAACTAACTAACTAACTACTAACTAACTAACTAACTAACTAACTAACTAACTACTAACTAACTAACTAACTACTAACTAACTAACTACTAACTAACTACTAACTAACTAACTACTAACTAACTAACTAACTAACTAACTAACTAACTAACTAACTAACTAACTACTAACTAACTAACTACTAACTAACTAACTAACTAACTACTAACTAACTAACTAACTAACTACTAACTAACTACTACTAACTAACTAACTAACTAACTAACTAACTAACTAACTAACTAACTAACTAACTACTAACTAACTAACTAACTAACTACTAACACTAACTAACTAACTAACTAACTACTAACTACTAACTACTAACTAACTAACTAACTACTAACTAACTAACTACTAACTAACTAACTAACTAACTAACTAACTAACTAACTACTAAACTAACTAACTACTAACTAACTACTACTAACTAACTAACTACTACTAACTACTAACTAACTAACTAACTAACTAACTACTAACTAACTAACTAACTAACTAACTAACTAACTAACTAACTAACTACTACTAACTAACTAACTACTAACTAACTAACTAACTAACTACTACTAACAACTAACTAACTAACTATAGAAATGTTGTCTAGTAGAAAAGCAACTTTTGTATAAAAATGTTGTGTATTTGACAAGCTACTTCTCTGTATAAATGTTTTATCTAAGAAATCATTTTGAAAGATTTAAATATTTTTGAATTTTTAAATAATTTAACAACTTTTTTTTTAATTTTTTACTTTTATTTTTTTCTATTTTCATTATTTTACTAAAATAGTTTTATTATTAAAGTACTTAAAACTAAACGAAAAACTACATTTATGTAATATTTTAGGCAGCTAAAAGATTTGTTGTTTTCTTTTTTTTTTTTTTTGTTTCAGTGTTATAAAAATATTAATTAATTAATATTAAATTTATAATTTACAAACTTTTTTTAAAAACTAAAAACTTGACTGATTTCATAGAAATTTTTATTTTGTTTAAAAAGAGCAAAATAAAAAATAATTAATTAAATTCAATTGCTTAAAAATTAAAGCTAAAGTATCAAACAAATTTCATATTTTTAAAATTATGAAGAAACTAAGGAAATTTTCCATAATTTTGTTTAAACAAGGCACATATAAATTTTGTCACAAATTCAAATAATAATAAAAATAATGCCAATAATTAAAAAAAAGAAAGTATTAAAGAATAAGTAAGAATTACAATAAATATAAATAAGTTTTAAGAGAAAAAATTAAAAGTTAAAGAGCATCAATATATAAAAAACTTAAACAACTAATTATTAGTTTAAAAGGGAAGAGTTATAAAAGTTTTGTTTAGAAAAAGTTAATTAATAATAAAACATGTTTAAAAAAAAAAGAAATTATAGAGCAAATTTTAAATAATTTTTATATACATGTTTTGTTTTGTAAATTTAAGAATTACACTAAAATTCTATAAGCTAAAAATCGGGATCATAATCACGTGCATAACGTGATGATCGGCCATTCGTTTGATTATTATACGTATACATTTGATGGGCATCCGCAAATGCATCTGGATACTGATGACCTCCATACAGCGATTGCTGATGATGCTGTGAATGATTGGAGTATTGTGAATGGGGATGATGTTTAAGAGATCTTTGCAGTGAATCACCCTTTTGGGAGGAGTAATTATTTTGCGAATCGTAATAGTAGTCACCATGACGTGTTGAACGCCAACTGTCGTAGATATTCGAACCACTGCTGTCGTTCATGGAGTTGGTAAAGCGCTGCAAGGAAAGAGTATATTTTAAAATGGTTTTAGAAGTACTGAAAAGTTTTACTTACCTTTGGTTTAATAGGTTGTTTTGTATCATTCCAGGCATCATCTATATTATAGAAATCATCGACGCCATAATTGTCCACACCACCCATGTGATTGATTTTCAATTCATTCAACATATCATTGGTTAAAGGTATAGGAGTCTTTTTAGCACGATTCTGGCGATTAAGTAACTAAAACACAAAAAAATAACAAAAACAATGTAATCTAGTCCAATAGACAAGCAACTTTTCTATAGAAGGGATGTCGGATAGACAAGCAACTTTTTCTATAGAAAAGATGTCCGATAAACAAGCAACTTTTCTATAGAAAAGATGTCCGATAGACAAGCAACTTTTCTATAGAAAAGATGTCCGATAGACAAGCAACTTTTCTATAGAAAAGATGTCCGATAGACAAGCAACTTTTCTATAGAAAAGATGTCCGATAGACAAGCAACTTTTCTATAGAAAAGATGTCCGATAGACAAGCAACTTTTCTATAGAAAAGATGTCCGTTAGACAATCAACTTTTCTATAGAAAAGATGTCCGTTAGACAAGCAACTTTTCTATAGAAAAGTTGTCTGTCAAACAAGCAACTTTTCTATTGAAAAGTTGTCTGTCAGACAAGCAACTTTTCTATAGAAAAGTTGTCTGTCAAACAAGCAACTTTTCTATTGAAAAGTTGTCTGTCAGACAAGCAACTTTTCTATAGAAAAGTTGTCTGTCAAACAAGCAACTTCTCTATAGAAATGTTGTCTGTCAGACAAGCAACTTTTCTGTAGAAATGTTGTCTGTCAGACAAGCAACTTTTCTATAGAAATTTTGTCTGTCAGACAAGCAACTTTTCTATAGAAATGTTGTAAGAGAATCATTCCTCTTACTCCTCCTCTTAAAAGATAACATGTACTTACCACAGTTATACCAAATATAACCACAAATACCAGAGAACCTACGCCAATGACTATAACCACTATGGCCCATTGAGGTATAAGCAAATCTTCTTCAGCAAATTCCACATTAGGTGTCAAGGGTTTGGGTATGACTTTGTTTTAAAACAATTAAAGAAAAATTAAAAACGTTTTTTATGATATTTAAAAGAATTTGGTGAACTTACCTGAAAAATCGGTGGCTACTGGATCTATAAGATATTTACCCATTAGGAAGGTTTCTTTGACTAGTTTTTCCTCTTTGATATCCTGATAACTACTATCCTCTTCATTATCGGTTTCATTTTCAGTTTCGGGCTTGTGGGGCAAGACGGGTTGAGGTGTTAGGGCTTCATGGAAGAGTTTCTTAATTTCCAAGGTATTGACATCTTGGGTAATATTGGCCAGTTCTACATAGTAGTCGACTAAAACACTGCCTTTACTGAAACTGTCAATACGTACTTTTTTATACCATTTACTTAATTTGGGAGCCGAGGAGTAGACATCGTTTAACTGTTTAAGAAAAGAGTAAAAATAATGAAATTGTTTTCCGGGTAATGCTAAAAATAAGTTAAGGATCCTCTTCTGAAGGCCCTAGATATCTTATGAAACAAAATTTTTACATCAGGGATGCGTAAGATATCTAGGGCCTTGGTAATTTCTTTTTTAGCTTCTCGTTCCTAAGATCTCTGTTGTCTTTCTAATTCAAATCTTGAATTAAAGATCCATGAGATATTTAGGGTCTTTAGAATGATATCTATAGTACCTGACATCAGTCCATTTCGGATTTTTACTTACTTGTGCCTCTACTTCTCTTGCCAAATTCTTCCATTCCGCCGTATTATGATCCAATAATTCTGGTTTCCAGGAAACACCATCTATAATCTTAATAGTGGCTGCCAAATCACAATCCGAAGTACAGAATCCGGGTTTAGTAGGTTTGGGTGTAGTGGTAGTAGTTGTGGTGGTGGTAGTGGTTGTAGTAGTGGTGGTAGAAGTCGAAGGCATTAATAAATCTTCGAAGTTAATAGTGGCTGTCTTGGCTTGTTCCAATAGCTTCTCTATAGAAATGGGGGTAGTGGAGGGTGTGGGCCAGCCGGTAAATTCTGTAGTGGCTCTGGTAGGTGGACCCTTTCTTACTACCACTGGAGGGGAGCCATTAGAGCCACCGAAATTCTCAGCGGACTCAAAGGTTCTGGGTGTGGTTAAACGTTGAGCTCCTAAGCGCTTGTGTATACCCTTAGGGAAGACTACTTTGAAACCAGAACCAGAGGAGGAAGAGGTATTTCCTTGAGTCTCCTCACTGGGTTTGGCAGTGGTAGTTGTGGTGCTACTAGTTGACGTTGAAGCGGGATGTTTGGCTGGTTCTTCTTCACTGCTGTTAAGTTTAAAACCAGGAGGCAATAGAGAAGCCACTTCTTTAAATTCAATTTTCTTGAAAATATCCTCTGCAACCTTTTCCTTTTCTTCTGCGGCCGGCTTATAACCCTTAGGCAATAGTTGGGATATGTCTATAGCTTCTGGTTCTACTTTAGGCAAAGGTTTTCTGGTAGTTCTTAGTTTATAACCAGGGGGCAAGAATTTGGTTATATCATCGGGCTCGGCAGCAGTAACTCCTGTTAAGGCTGGTTTCTTTTCTTCCGTTTTCTTTTCTTCTTTAATAGTGGGCGTGGTGGGTGTGGTTAGTTTATAACCTGGTGGTAAAAATTTGGATATATCATCAACCAAAGTTACCGCAGGTTTGGCTGTGGTAGCCTTGTCTTTGTAATCCTTGGGCAGCAATGTATCGAGGTTCTCGTCAAACTTGATTTTGCTTAAAATATTGTGTAGATCGTTTTTAGGATTTTCGGTGGTCGTGGACAATTTATAGCCCTTAGGCAGTAAACCGGCCAAAGAAACATCTTGTGCTACGGGGGAATTCTTAAAGGATCTGCCTATAGTGGAATTTCTTAAAGGTTTCTTGAATTCGTGAACCTCTTGTTCAGGTTTCTTGGTGGTGCTAGTTGTAGTGGTGATCTTACGATTCTTATAGGAAGGTCTCTTAAAACCATCAGGCAATAAACTGGCCAATTCATCCATTTCGGTTTCGTCAATATGATGCACCTTAACTTTGGGTGCTGGAGATTCATCGAAATGATGAACCCTTACTTTGGGAGCTGCAGTAGTCTTAGGCTGGAACTTGCGTATATTGGGAGCAAATCTATTACCAGAGGTGGAGGTAGTAGAGGGCGTGGACACTGCCATTTGACCTATTATGGGATATTTGCCAGCCAATAATCCACTAGATAGTTCCGATTGTACCCTATCCAATTTGTCTATGATACTTTCAGTGGAAGAGGAGGCCTGTGTCGAGGAGGTACTTTCCGTAGTTGATTCTGTTTGTGCCGTGGTTATTACATCCATTTCACCACTTTCATTGGTTTGTTCCGAGGAGGAGTCTTGATTGTTTTTACTAGCCTTGGCCTTAGCATTACGTTCCAATTCTGATAAAGATTTCTTAGACTCCTCCTGTTGTATGGCGGGGAAGGGCAAGAAACGGGCTCCATTTATACTTCTGCTGGTTTGTATGGAAGCTACCACCACATAGCCTTCGGTGGTATTGATCAAAACTTCTTCACTGACTGCTTTGGGTGTGGGTGTGGTTGGACCATCTACCTCCTCGGCGTTTTCTTCCGAAGCTGGAGATACTTTAGTTTCGGTAAATATGGCTTCTTCTTCCATGGAAAGAGTAGTAGAGCGAGGTGTCACTGGTGAGGGGAAGGCAGTGGAACCATTAACCACACTCTTGGTGGTAACCACAGAAATAACTTCCCGATCCAATATTAAAGGACTAGGTTCTAAAGTGGTAGTGGAGCTAGTACTTAAAGAATCATCAGTATTTTCCAAACTATGAGCCGAACCTTCATGTTCTTCTTCATGCTCGTGTTCCTCGTCCTCCTCAGCTTCTTCATCGTCACCACTTTCCTCATCTCCACTTTCTTCTTCATAGTCTTCCTCATCATAATCCGCACTAGATTCTTCATCATGCTCTTGCTTCTCACCCGAAGACTCGGTGGTGGTCATTAATACGGTAGCCGTAATTTTGTCAGCTTCTCCTGCCGCCGCCGATTCAGTGGTGGTTATTATTTGCTGATCCTCTTGCTTGTTAGTGGTAGTAGGTTCTGTTACCGGCATAACAGTGGCTTTTAAAGCTGCCTCACTATCTTCCTCCTCGTGATATTCTTCTTCATGTTGCAAAGGCTTTTCAGTGGTATGACCTTCACTCTCTAAGGAACCATCGGTAATAGCTTCCTTACTACCACTACCCGTTTCCTGATGTTCCTCTTGTGAGTACTCATCGGAGTAATTTTCACCTCCTTCCTCCTCATTGTCTTCCACTTTTTGTATCTCTTCACTTTGCGAAGCATTGGCGGAATTTTGAGCCACTACATCTTCTTGGTTTTCCTTAGAATTGGTTTGTGCTGTCAATGTGGTGGCTGCCACTTCCGTGGATTTGGCTACACTATCTATTGCGGGAGGTTTAGCTTCAGCCTCCTGTAATTGTAGTTTCTCTAATACCGGCAACTTTAACTTATTATCCACTTGCTCCTGAGTCTCTTCGTATTCATCACTTAATCCGCCACTTTCTTTGTGTACACCAAAAGGCAGAGCTGGTCGGAAAGGTGTCGAGGAGGCTGATACCTGTTGCTTTAGCAATTTATCCTTCAAGGGAAGCTTTACTCTTCCCTGCTTAACTGGGTAATTCTTAAGGGGTTTATTCGCCTGTATGGGTTCATTAACCTCGCGACTGATAAAGGCAGGACGACGATTACTGGGTTTTACATTGATCCTACTTAGTTCCGGATTATTGGCCTGTGTGGTGGTTTGTGTGGAAGGTCTGAAACCTCCTGAGGAGAGATTTTGTGTGCGTCCACCAAAACGATTATATCTACGACTGGTATTAGGATGTTCAGTAGTAGTTGAAGTGGAGGTAGTGGTGGTGGTAGCCGAGCTGGGTTGAAAACGATTGCGGGTATTGCGGAAGGGAACCTGTTGAGTTTGAGGTCCTACGGGAGCATCCACATTGGAGTAGGAGGTTGAACCTGGACGGTTGCGATTCGAACTGGGTGTGAAGCCACCATTACCAAAAGGTCTAGCCACCGAGTTGCCAAATCCAGTAGAGGCCGATAAACGGTTAGGGGAGGAAGGTTTATCCACCTGGAAAGAATGGAGAAAGGAAAAAAATTATTAGTTTACATATGTAAACAATAGGGTAAATAATGTAAAATATGTAAACTATTACAAAAAGGGTAAATTATTGAAAACTATTTAAAAAAAGATGTAAAGCCAGGTAAACTTTTAAAATTTTACATATTTTACACATGTAAACAATAATGTCAACAATGTAAAATATGTAACTAAAGCAAAAACTGCACTAATTCAATATATTAAGATATATCTTACTAAAAAGATTTTTGGTGTTGAAAAAAATTACATTTTTGACATATGTAACAATGATGTAAAAAATGTAAAATATGTAAAGAATGAAAAAACAAGGTAATTCATCGGAAAATGTAGGCCAAAGACAAAAACACTTTAAAAATTCGTTAAAAACCAATTGTTTACATGTGTAAACATTAAGGTAAAATATGTAAACAATGCAAAAAAGAGCTTATATTACGAATAATATAATAGAATGTAAGTAAACATCAAAAATAAATAAATTTTACATTTTTTACGCATGTAAACAATAACTTCAACAATGTAAAATATGTAAATAATTGAGAAATCGTTAACTGGTAATGCTAAAACTCATTGAAATTAATAAAATATTAAAAACAATTATAATGCAGATAATTTACACGTGTAAACAATAAGGTAAAATATGTAAACAATACAAAAACTGGAAAATTTAAAGTATTATACAATAGAGTACAAATTAACTTAATTTATAAAGAAATTTTACATTTTTTACACGTATAAACAATAATGTCAACAATGTATAAAGGGGTAAATAAACGTAAAATCTTAGTAAATAATGAAAATACGCAATTAAGTTTAATACAACATTAAAATGAAGAAAAATTCGAATATTTTACACGTGTAAACAATAAGGTAAAATATGTAAACAATACAAAAACAGACTTAATTAAAGAATAACACAATAGAGTATAAATTAACTTAAAATATAAAGAAATTTTACATTCTTTACACATGTAAACAATAATGTCGACAATGTAAAAATATTTAAATAGGTTAAAAATTTTACAAAATTAACGATAAAACATATATAATTAAATTAGGAGTTCAATATAGACATAATTTTGTTACTTTACACGTGTAAACAATAAGGTATAATATGTAAACAATGCCAAAAACTGGACAAATTGAAAAATAATGCAGTAGAACATGAATGAATCTTTGATACAAAAAAAATTTTCATTTTTTACATGTGTAAAGAACAATGTCAACAATGTAAAGAATTAAATAAAACAAAAAATTTTAAAGAATCATCGAAAATGCATTTGGAATTTAGGCATAAATTTAATAAAGTTATAATTCTGATACTTTACACGTGTAAACAATTAAGTAAAATATGTAAACAATGTGAAAACAGAACAAATTGAAAAATAATGCAATATGACATGAACAAATCTTCAATAAAATGTAATTTTAAATTTTTTACATGTGTAAACAATAATGTCAACAATGTAAAAAATGAAAAAATCTTGGAAAATTATGAAAAAAAACTTATTGAGTAAAATTAATAATTCAATAAAGATATAATTTTTTACTTTACACAGGTAAACAATAAGGTAAACAATATGTAAACAATATGAAAATAGAGAAAATTGAATAATAATGGAGTAGAATATAAGTAAATCTTCACTATAAAGAAATTTGAAATTTTTTACATGTGTAAACAACTATGTCAACAATGTAATAAAAGGGTAAAAAACGAGAAATGTTAAAAACATTATACGAACTGTCAAAAATAAGTGAATTATTTCAAAATTTATAAAAAAAATGGTACTTGACACGTGTAAACAATAAGGTAAAATATGTAAATAATTCGTAAACTTGGAAAATCGATATATCATAGTAAAACAATGCAATTAAATTTACAAAATAAAGAAATTTTATATAGTTTACGCATGTAAAGAATGAAGTAAAATATGTAAATAATGAAAAATTAATGTAAATAATGGCAAAATTCAAAGATATTGAATTAATTGAAGGCATTGGCCATAAATTGTAGGTTTTACTTTAGTATATAATGGAACGTATTTCATAATTAAGATTTTTTCATTATGTGTTATTCAAAATTGCCAATTTATCAAAAAAATTTTATCCATTAACCCAATTTTTCTTAAAAATAAATCAAAGCAAAACTTTTACTCTTCATAACAATCATCACAATTACCTATATTGTTATAACAGTTATAAACAATAACTTGCCCTTTTTTGGGATTAAAAATTTGTAAACCTAATAAAAATTGCATTTGATTTTTTCCCCCAAATGGCTCATTAAATACCAATACATTACAACAAAATATCTCAACTATAGCTCAAGCATACACCTGCCTCAGGCGCAACATTATAGAAAAATTTACAACATGCTGAGTGCAAGACAGCTCCCACAACTGATGGTTGTACGTCAGATACATAAAACAAATAGAAATCAATACACAAACAATTCATTATCAGAAATTCGAAATATATAACAACTTATTTTTCAAACTCAAACCTCCGAAAACTGTAACAATCTAATAAAACATTATGAAAATGAAAGTAAAGCAGCCGGCCGCCAATACATTGGTTTCTGACCAAATGAACACAAACGCTTTAAAATTATCAAAAATTACATAACAAGAGCGTTAAAGCATCATGTTTTGAACAGAAAATATAACAACTACAACAGTCAGTTACCAGAAATGTGAATAACAAACCCAACATGAAATTAAAACTGAACTAAAACAAGAAATATTAGTTTTTTTCTTCGCCTTTTTTCACTGAAAAAGTAAACCAAACCAAAAATAAACCAAAAACACCACAGACCAGACATATACAATCTTTCGTAGTAAAAATTGGAGCACCTAGTATAAATGAGATCCCCAGAAAAGCAACAGCAACAACAATAACATTAAATCTATAACTAAACAAATACTCAGAAGTTAATAATGTTAACAACAACAACAATTTATGCATTTGTTTTATTACTTTATACTTAACGCAGCAGTCAGTCCACTTAAAGGCGTTCAATACACATTTGCTGGGTTTACATTAAAGTTTATAAATCACCATTACAGTGGGACAAGAAATTATAAAAATAAGAGACAAAAAAAACTGCAACAAAAAGTTTTGAAAATTTCAAGAATTTTAATGCTTAACTGGGTAAAACTTTAAATATCAGAGTTTATAACACATTTTCCTGATTTTTACACATGTAAACAATAATGTAAAAAATGTAAACAATGAAAAAATATGTCAATATTACAAACAACAAAGAAATTTTAATGTTCTTCCTAATTCTTTATTAATTTTCATTGAAATTAAAAAAACTCTTATTTTTTACATTGTTTACATATTTTACCCATGTAAACAATATGTCACGTAGGTAAACAACTTAACAAATATATAAATAATTAAACTAACAGAAAATTTATAAAATATGACATAAGTTTTTAAATCAAATAAAAAACTTTCTGCAAAAAACTAAAGATTCGCCTACAAATTTGTATTGTTTACACGTGTAAACCATATGTCAAGTATGTAAATAATATGACAAATAAAGTGTAATCTTTTTGTCAAATATATAAACAATTAAACTAGCTTAATATTTATAGCAACTGTTAACAAATTTTAAACCAAAAAACGAATTTTCTGCCAAAAACAAAAAATTTCTTAACAAATTTGTATTGTTTACACGTGTAAACAATTAAAAAACATATGATAAAATAATGATTACACAAAAAATTTACATCGAAACGTAAACTAGAGAACTACAGCAACATTTTGGCATATGTAAATATTAACGTACACTAAGTAAATAATGTAAAATTTAAGTGAAAAGTCAAAAACTTGTAACAAAAAGTAATCGAAATATTTACACGGGTAAACTTTACACAAAAAACTACTTTCACATACTATTTTAAAAAATTTATAACAAAAAACCTAAACTATAATGTTAGTAAATATTTCTTACATTTTTGACATATGTAAACAATAGGTAAATAATGTAAAATAGATAAATATGCAAAATAAATATACATTAAACAAACACTAAAATGGAAACATAAATTTCCTTCTTTGAAGCTACATTTGACATCAATTTTACACACGTGTAAACAATAAGGTAAATAATGTAAAATATGTAAACAATTTAAAAATAAACAAAAATAAAGACTAACTAATATTAAAATTTTTCATATTTTACACTTGTAAACAATAAGGTAAAATATGTAAACAATTGAAAAATATAGATAAGGCGTCGAACAAATCATAAAATTATTTTAGAAATACAAACTAAAGAAATTTTACATATTTGACATGTGTAAACAATGATGTAAAATATGTAAACAATTGGAAATTAAGGTAATTTAAGCGAAATTAACATAATAACGATAAAACATTAAAAAATTATTAAATTTGAAAACATATGTAAATAAATAAAATTTTGCAAAAATTATAAATAAAATATTGAGATAAAATGTAGAAATTATAAATACAGAAATTTTATATTTTTTACACATGTAAACAATTAGGTTAAATATGTAAACAATTACAAAATTGTGGAAAATTACAGGAAAAATACTAAAATGAAAGTAGAAGTTTAAAATGATGAAATTTCAAATTGTTTACATGTGTAAACAATACGGTAAAATATGTAAACAATGGAAAATTAACGTAATTTATGAAAAAATTAATATAATATTGACAATAATTCACAATAATAAATAGATTTGAAAATTTTACACATGTAAACAATGAGGTAAAATATGTAAACAATTGGAAAAAATATGTAAATAATAAAAATTTTTGGAAAAATTAAAGAAAAAATATTGAGATAAAATATAGAAATTGTAAATAGAGAAATTTTACATTTTTTACACATGTAAACAATTGGGTAAAATATGTAAACAACTAATAAACTAGTACATGTTTGAAAAATACAATCATGTAAATTGGTCTCTGAAAGTAGAAGTTTAAAATTAAAAAAAATTTACATTGTTTACATGTGTATACAATTAGGTAAAATATGTAAACAATTGAAAATTAAAGTAGTTTAAGGATAACATTACATAGTAATGAGAAAACATTATAAAATTATTAAATTTGAAAATTTGACACATGTAAACAATAAGGTAAAATATGTAAACAATAAGAAAACATATGTAAACAATTCAAAAATTGAAATAATTAGAGAAAAAATATTGAGATTAAATGAAGAAATTGTAAATAGAGGAATTTTACATTCTTTACACATGTAAACAATTGGGTAAAATATGTAAACAATTAAAAAAACTAGGTAGAAGTTTAAAAATTAAATAATTTAAAAAAGTTTCTAAAAGCAAAAAATTTTTACTAGTATTTTCTTATGTAAACAATAATGTAAAATATGTAAATATTAAAAATTAGAGGAGAAAAGTTTAAAAGACAAATGATTTGAAGCCCACTCTTTGGTTAAAATTGATTTAAATTGTATTTTTCTCAACACTACTGTTATTTGAACACCTTTTAGAAGCTCGCTTTACTTAAGTTAGATTTATATAAATATTTATTTTTGTTTAAATGTGTTATTTATTTTCTTACTTAATCTTAAAGTTGTTACCACTTTGGGTAACAACTAGATTTACTTGTTTTTTCTACCCCAAAAACATAAACAATTTTGCAATAAATTATTAATGAATTTAAATTAAATTAAAAATTTTCAATAAAAATGTTTGCAACATGTAAACAAATAGCAAAAAAAATTACAAAATTCTTAAGAAAATCAAACAAAAAATACACTTTTTTTTGCAAAAAAATAATATAAAACAATTGTTGCAATATTATGAAACATTAACATTCCCACGTAAAGTACCTTTAGATTGATGGTGTTTTTTGTAAAAAAAAAACTTTTTTGAAATCATACCTAAAGGCAGGGTAGTGCTGTTCGTACGGTGGTGGCGGTATTATTAACATTTTACTCTACATTTGTATTCGCATTTATTATGTTCAAAACAATTTTGCTCTTTTTGTTGCTATTGTTGGGGTACTTTGTTAAGGTTTTTTTTTGGTATATTTAATTAGTGGTTTCAATTCAATTTGTATTTCTTTTTTTTAGAGCAGTTCACTTCATTTGTAATTCATATATAAATTTCATGGATTTCTAATACTTCACACAGTTAACTTAAAGCTAAAAGTTATATAGACAGACATCAAGACATACATAAATACCTTTAGATATGTGGTAATTTGTAAGATAAACTATTGTCTTAAGCTCTTCAACAACAACAACTAAAACACATGTGAATGTGTAAATGTGTCTGTCTGTATGGTTAAACTATAGATGGGAGTGACATTGTAAAGACTAACTAAAACAAATCACACACATGCATTCGAAATACCACAGAAAAACTCTATCACGTGTTGTAATACATATTCAAACAACAAAATTGATGAGTGAGTGTCTTGGCATATATTTTTAAAAATACCAGAAATTTTTATACCCAAAGAAAATTAAGTTCAACAGCAAAAAAAAAAACAAAAACTGGGTGTTAAAAAAATTACTATTGTAAAAAAAGAAGGTATTTTTTTATACATTTCCCTTTTATAGCTATGATTAAGCATATTTCTGATTATATATTCCTGGCAAGGTTAGTGTCTAGCAGTTAATTTTTTTTCACAAAGCAATATGTTAAATTGTTGGAATATTTCACTTACCGTTGGTTCATTGAAATGCTGTAGAAATTGTGTCTGTTGGTGTGGCACATTGACTCGTTGTGGCACAAAACCGTTTGATGGCGAAAAACTGCTACTGGGCTTAAACGATTTGGAACGTGTGTAAGTGGAAGCGGAACCAGTGGCTGTGCCCGGCACTCCAAAGGGACGTGGCGATATGTCATAGTAGTCATTGTTGCGAGTGTTCTGGAATGGAAAACAAAAAATAATTAAAAAAGAAAAAAATAAACAAAAAGTACTTTTTTATAATACATAATAAACAATAGTATTAACTATAGTCCCTCTATAGTAGTCCAATCAATAGTATTGACCTAGTTTATAGTATTGTCCACTCTATAGTTTTTACTAAAGTCCAGACCACAATATATACAAGAGTCCAGTCTATGGTATACTCTATAGCCTTGACTATAACCTTGTCTATAGTCTAGTCTATAGTCTAGTCTATAGTCTAGTCTATAGTCTAGTCTATAGTCTAGTCTAGTTAGTCTATAGTCTAGTCTATAGTCTAGTCTATAGTCTAGTCTATAGTCTAGTCTATAGTCTAGTCTATAGTCTAGTCTATAGTCTAGTCTATAGTCTAGTCTATAGTCTAGTCTATAGTCTAGTCTATAGTCTAGTCTATAGTCTAGTCTATAGTCTAGTCTATAGTCTAGTCTATAGTCTAGTCTATAGTCTAGTCTATAGTCTAGTCTATAGTCTAGTCTATAGTCTAGTCTATAGTCTAGTCTATAGTCTAGTCTATAGTCTAGTCTATAGTCTAGTCTATAGTCTAGTCTATAGTCTAGTCTATAGTCTAGTCTATAGTCTAGTCTATAGTCTAGTCTATAGTCTAGTCTATAGTCTAGTCTATAGTCTAGTCTATAGTCTAGTGTATAGTCTAGTCTATAGTCTAGTCTATAGTCTAGTCTATAGTCTAGTCTATAGTCTAGTCTATAGTCTAGTTTATAGTCTAGTCTATAGTCTAGTCTATAGTCTAGTGTATAGTCTAGTCTATAGTCTAGTCTATAGTCTAGTCTATAGTCTAGTCTATAGTCTAGTCTATTGTCTAGTCTATAGTCTAGTCTATAGTCTAGTCTATAGTCTAGTCTATAGTCTAGTCTATAGTCTAGTCTATAGTCTAGTCTATAGTCTAGTCTATAGTCTAGTCTATAGTCTAGTCTATAGTCTAGTCTATAGTCTAGTCTATAGTCTAGTCTATAGTCTAGTCTATAGTCTAGTATATAGTCTAGTCTATAGTCTATAGTCTAGTCTATAGTCTAGTCTATAGTCTAGTCTAGTCTATAGTCTAGTCTAGTCTATAGTCTAGTCTATTGTCTACTCTACTATAGAAAAGTCTATTACTAATTTTAATCATTGTATATCAATTGTCTATGTCAACACCACTTTTTCCCAAGGATATCCATTCCTACCTATTGATAACAAAATTCACTTAACTTTTAGGAACTCCCCCAAACAAAAGACTTAAGTTACATACTTTGCACATGTCAAAAACCACAGAGAGATTTTCTCTCATGTCTTCAATGATCTTCTTTTCTGTTTAATTGTTCATAATTTCTCCCATTATTACAATTTATCACAATAAATTACATTTTCTTCAACCGCAAAAGTTCAATGTTCATGTCACTTTCATTAAACATTATTATTATCTGATTTTTTTCTAGTTATTACAATTATTATTTTTTTTTTTCTTTTCATACATAAACTTTCTTATTAACATTATTTTTTAGTTTTTATTGCTCTATTATTGTCTGGTGGCAGACATATTTTCTTATGATTTGTTCGCAAGTAAAAGTGAAAATGAAAATAGAAACTTGATGAAAAAGAAAGAAAATAATAAAAAATTTAATTAAAGAAATATGTAAGAAGAAATAACAGGTAAAAGATAACATGGATGTATAACAAGGTCATAGGAGATTATGTCAAAGTTTTAATTTTTTTACTATTACATTTTGGGTTCAAGAAAAACATTAAACTTTAGGAAAAAAATATGAAAGGAAAAGTATTAAAAAATGTATTAAGCTGTTTCATGGAATCAATGAATGGTATGATAACCTTGATACAGTTTTTAGTAAAACATAATATGTACTTTTCAAATTTAGCTGTTAATTTAATAATATCAATTGTAATTGTTTTAAAATGATATGATCATAAATCATAATTTTTTGTATCTTAGATTATGATGACTTTTTGAAAGTAGCAACTAATTAAGAGAAGAGTTGTTTTTGCCAATCAGGAAATTTAAAACTGGAAAATTATTTTGAAGATTTATGTAAGAAATTATATCTCAGTTATTGATTGTGCAACATTAAATAAATGATTTTGTTAAGTGTACTATATCAATATATATATATATACTAGACTATAGACTATAGACAGACTATAGACTAGACTACTAGACTATAGACTAGACTATAGACTAGACTATAGACTAGACTATAGACTAGACTATAGACTAGACTATAGACTAGACTATAGACTAGACTATAGACTAGACTATAGACTAGACTATAGACTAGACTATAGACTAGACTATAGACTAGACTATAGACTAGACTATAGACTAGACTATAGACTAGACTATAGACTAGACTATAGACTAGACTATAGACTAGACTATAGACTAGACTATAGACTAGACTATAGACTAGACTATAGACTAGACTATAGACTAGACTATAGACTAGACTATAGACTAGACTATAGACTAGACTATAGACTAGACTATAGACTAGACTATAGACTAGACTATATACTAGACTAAAGACTAGACTATAGACTAGACTATAGACTAGACTATAGACTAGACTATAGACTAGACTATAGACTAGACTATAGACTAGACTATAGACTAGACTATAGACTAGATTATAGACTAGACTATAGACTAGACTATAGACTAGACTATAAACTAGACTATAAACTAGACTATAAACTAGACTATCAACTAGACTATTGACTTGACTGTTGTCTAAGCTATAGACTAGATCATAGACTAGACTATAAACTAGTCTATAGACTACACTATAGACTAGACTAAATAATATATCTAGTTCAAACTATAAATTAGACTATTGTCCAGACTATATACTATACTGAAGTCAAGAATATAGACTATACTATAATGCAAACTATAAACTAGACTATTGTTCAGAATATAGACTAAACTATAGTACACATAATAAACTATAGAACAAACTAAAGACATGACAAGACTATAGACTAGATTACAAGTAAAACTGTAGAATAATTCGGTCTGTAGACTAAGCAAGAAATTTGGACTAACTTTAGACTATAAGCCAGACTGTAATTTAAACAGACTATAACTGTACATAAAAGTGTAGTATTTTCTCCCTCAATAAGATATTTTTATTTGAATATAGCTTTTTAAAACAAAAGACTTAAGACACAAACCTCAACTTTATTTCCCCTTTAATCCCAAATAATTACAAAAAAATTATTGATCCAACATTTCTTTGCACATCACCATTATTAAAACGCAATCAGCCATAAAAAAAAATTTAACTAATTTTATAAAAATTACTAAAATTTCATTCAACAAATTTCACTCTTTAACAAACCTACTGTCATGAACTCTTTTTTTGGTAAATTTTTGATATTTAATTTTTATAGTTAAGCGTATATTAGGGAAACCTATACCCCCCTTACTACAGCTACAATTATACATACCTACGTCACGCTCACAAAAAAAAATAAATTTATTTTTAACTAAAACGGTAGACTGCTTGAATTTACAATTGATTTGTTTCGCTATTTGGTTAGGTTTAACTATATAGTTTTTTGTAGTTTTTTTCTTCATATATAAATTTAATTATATTATTTTGATTTTAACATTATTGTATGACTTAATAACTGCTATTTAACTTTCACTTGACCAAATGCAGTTTCTTATTTTCTTTCTTTTATTTTTGAATAAGTCCGTCTGTCTTTCTTGGCGTTTTTGTTGATTGTTTTTTTAACAATAACTATGAATTGAAATAAATATTTAAGTAGCTTTAATTTAATATTTATTGTTAAACAATAGGGTGTTAACATTTCGTTTTAATAACAAAGTTGCCAAGTAGGTTTTTGTAAAGGAAACTAAATGTAAAGAGGAAAACTTACCGTATATTGTTGTTGTCCAAATGGTTGGTAGGCAGCCGAGGTTAAAGGTTGACTTTGTGGCTGTTTACTTTCATTGCCTATGAATAAAATCTGTTCTTGATATGAGCCTGGTGAGCCAGCTCCTGTTGTGGAACTAGCACGATTGTAATTGCGACTACTTTGATATTGTGAAGATGGCACAAAACGATTGTGGGTATTTGGTTGAGAAAAATAATAATCTGCAAAGAAAAATACAAGACAAATAAGTTAAAATTTGAATCTCTATAAATTATTACTGTTTTTGCTATAATTAACATTTATTTCTTTTGTCATGTAAATTTAACTATTTTACACAGGTGTTTAAAGCTTGAAAGTGTTGTTAATTCATTTTTGTTTAGTTATGACACATTATAAACGTGTTATATACAGTTTTTATTATTATTATTTTTTGCTTTATATTTTCATATTTTTTTTTTTTTTGTTTATAGCATAATGTAGCAACAAATTTTGTAATAAATTTAAATTTTTTTTAGGACCATAAATAATATGTCTTTTTTTGTCGAATAATAGTAATAAAAAGCGAAAGCTTTACTTTTTCTTAGAAATGTATGGCAATAATAAAATTGTGTAATAAATTTTTATTACAAAATTAAATTTCTTCTCTAATTCACAAACTATTTTTATGATATGTAACAGAACTGGACACATGACAGACTAGACTATAGTCCAAAAGTTAAACTAGACTATACATTAGATACTTAAGATTAGACTAAAGACTAGACGATAAACTAGACTAGACTATAGACTAGACTATAGACTAGACTATAGACTAGACTATAGACTAAACTATAGACTAGACCAGACTATAGACTAGACTATAGACTAGACCAGACTATAGACTAGACTAGACTAGACTAGACTAGACTGACTATAGACTGACTATAGACTAGACTATAGACTAGACTATAGACCTATAGACTAGACTATAGACTAGACTATAGACTAGACTATAGACTAGACTATAGACTAGACTATAGACTAGACTATAGACTAGACTATAGACTAGACTATAGACTAGACTATAGACTAGACTATAGACTAGACTATAGACTAGACTATAGACTAGACTATAGACTAGACTATAGACTAGACTATAGACTAGACTATAGACTAGACTATAGACTAGACTATAGACTAGACTATAGACTAGACTATAGACTAGACTATAGGACTAGACTATAGACTAGACTATAGACTAGACTATAGACTAGACTATAGACTAGACTATAGACTAGACTATAGACTAGACTATAGACTAGACTATAGACTAGACTATAGACTAGACTATACAGACTAGACTAGACATAGACTAGACTATAGACTAGACTATAGACTAGACTATAGACTAGACTATAGACTAGACTATAGACTAGACTATAGACTAGACTATAGACAGACTATAGACAGACTATAGACTAGACTATAAGACTAGACTATAGACTAGACATAGACTAGACTATAGACTAGACTATAGACGAGACTATAGAACTAGACTATAGACTAGACTATAGACTAGACTATAGACTAGACATAGAAGACTATAGACTAGACTATAGACTAGACTATAGACTAGACTATAGACTCGACTATAGACTAGACTATAGACTAGACTATAGACTAGACTATAGACTAGACTATAGACTAGACTATAGACTAGACTATAGACTAGACTATAGACTAGACTATAGACTGACTATAGACTAGACTATAGACTAGACTATAGACTAGAATATAGACTAGACTATAGACTAGACTATAGACTAGACTATAGACTAGACTATAGACTAGACTATAGACTAGACTATAGACTAGACTATAGACTAGACTATAGACTAGACTATAGACTAGACTATAGACTAGACTATAGACTAGACTATAGACTAGACTATAGACTAGACTATAGACTAGACTATAGACTAGACTATAGACTAGACTATAGACTAGACTATAGACTAGACTATAGACTAGACTATAGACTAGACTATAGACTAGACTATAGACTAGACTATAGACTAGACTATAGACTAGACTATAGACTAGACTATAGACTAGACTATAGACTAGACGATAGACTATAGACTAGACTATAGACTAGACTATAGACTAGACTATAGAGTAGACTGTAGATCAAACTTAGACTAAAGACTGAACTATAAACTAGACTATAGGCCCATAATACAAACTAAACTATAGTCTAGACTAAAGGCTAGCCTATAGTCCACATTATACTTAGACAATACTACACTACCGAATGATTTTACATTTTCTATATTAAAATTCTTATCTCCAACTCTTCTATAAAATCAAACCTTACAAAGTAAGACTTCAAAACAAAAAAAAAAAAGAGAAAATTTCATTAAATCGTCTTTTAATTAAATAATTAACATTTAAACATAGACATTTTTCTAAAGCCCACAACACTTTTACCGCACCTTACTTGTATCTACAGAACATTTTGTTGCCACAAACAAAATAGTTCTTAATTTTTTTTATTATTAAAACAGAAAAAAAGCAACAATTTAGGTCAATTCTACTTAAACACTTTACGAATATTGATTTGTTTATAAGAATTTTTATATTTTATTTATAAATTTTATATTCAAACAAACAAACTTGTGCAACCAAAATGGTATTGAGTATTTTTTTGTTGTATATAAAGACAATTTCAAGAATTTTTTATCGATTATTTCAATTGTAAATATAAAGTTAAGCGTGAGTGTGTGTGCTGGTTTTTTTAAAGTGACTCATATGACATTTAACAAAAATATTTTATTAGCAATATGTCTTTTTCTTTATACTTTTTGCTTATAAATATTTGTATAAATATTTGTTTGTTTAGGCTTTTCTCAAGTGTTTGTTAACAGATATGGTTTTCTAAGCACGTGTTCAAAATTTGTTTGTAAATGATTATTACAAGGTAATAATTTTTTTTTGGGTTGTTATAAGAATTTAATAAAAATTGCAAAATAATAGTATCAAGTAATTTATGAAAAGAAATACTCATCTAGTTTTTTTATACAGATATGGCAAACGGAGTTCAAATAGGAAAATGTGTCTGTTAGTTTGAGGATTAGTGCTAACAAAACAAAAGACTTAAAAAACGAACATGCCGAGTTATGCATTGTGATGGTGGGTGTGTGTGTGACTTGATGCAGAATTTTGCAGAGAAATTCCTTTTCGATGAATTGAAAAATAATGTTACTGGAATGGGAATCGTTTGCAGCTGAAATTTGAGCTTTTAAAATTTGAGAGATTAAACGTATAAATGAGCTGGAGAAATATCCACATTTGGTTTTCTCTATATTAATAAAGTTTTTTAATTAAATTTGGTCTTTTTCCTCAAAAAGCTTGTGAAATCCTTTTCCACAAAAAGTTTATTTAAGCTAAATCTACAAAAAGCGTTTTCTATAAAAAAGCTTTTGGCACAAAAAGCTTAGCAAATCCTTTAATTAAGCTAAAAAAAAAAGCTTCTTAAAGCTAAAGATAAAGTTTTTTTAACTAAAAATATTTGTACTTTTCCAAAAAAGTTTATTTAAGCTAAATCTACAAAAAGCTTAAAGCTTTTTAAGTTTTTTCGACAAAAAGCTTTTTTAAGCTTTTTCCACAAAAAATCTTTTTTAAGCTTTTTCCACAAAAAATCTTTTTAAATCCTTTTCCACAAAAAGTTTATTTAAGCTGCATCTAAAAAAAGCTTCTTAAAGCTAAATATAAAGTTTTTTTAATTAAAAATATTTGTGCTTTTTCCACAAAAAGCTTATGAAAACCTTTTCCACAAAAGGTTTATTTGAGCTAAATGTACAAAAAGCTTCATAAAGTTTTTTCGACAAAAAGCTTTTTTAAACTTTTGCCACAAAAAACTTATGAAATCCTTATCCACAAAAAGTTTATTTAAGCTACATCTACAAAAAAGCTTCTTAAAGTTTTTTCCACAAAAAAACTTCTTAAAACTTTTTCCACAGAAAGCTTCTTAAAGGTATTACCGAAAAAGCTGCATAGTGCTTCTTTAATATAAAACTTTTTCCACAAAAAGCATCTTAAAGCTATTAGCTAAAAACTGTCTATCTGATCCTTATTAAATATAAATCCAATTAAAAGAAAGTGTCTTTTAATAAAAATTTTAAAAATTACAAATTAATTTGAATATTTTTATAAAAAAAAAGCTTTCTATCAAAAAAATCTATTTATATAAAGAAATATTTCTGCAAGAAGCTTTAATTTTTTAAAAGAGAGTTTTACAAAAAAAAAAAAAATAACTTTAAAAAGCTTCTTTAAGCTTTTTCCGCAAAAAGCTTTTAAAAGCTATTACCGAAAAAGCTGTATAATGCTTCTTTAATATAGAACTATTTAAGAGAGAAAGTTTCTTTTAATAATTTATAATTATTTTTATTAAAAAAAGCTTTTTATCAAAAAAAGCTTTTATCATAAGAAATATTTGTACAAGAAGCATAATTTTAATTTTTTCTGCAAAAAAAGACAAAAAAGCTTTTTAAAGCTCTTAATTACAAAATAAAACCTTTTTTTCTACTTTTTACAAAAATATAAAGCATTTCTAACTTTTCTTGCTTTAAGAAAAGCTGGGAAAGCTTTAAAGCTTTTCCTATACTAAAGAGCTTTTTCTAAAAAATCGTCCTTTTTAAATTGCCTTTTTTATAACAAAACACCTTTCAAAACTTTTTCTACTAAAAGCATTTTCTACCAAAAAAGCTTTCCTTATACAACGCTTTTTATACAAAACCCGTTTTTACTATTTTTTTAATTCTTTATTTTTTAACAGTTTTCTATATATGAAGAAAGCTTTTAAATTAGATTTTGTTTTACAAAATTATTTGATAAAAAATTATCTATTTATTACAACAAAAAAATCTTAATAATTTCAATAATTTTATTGCTTAAAGTTCAAATTGTTTAAACTTTTATGCTTTAGTTATAAAAATTTTTTATTTCTCTAATTTTTTGATTACTTTTATTAGCTATAAATATTTTTCTAGCATGTCAAGTTATTACAACAACTGAAATACAAAATATTGGCAAAACATGATTTGATTTTTTTTATAAAAAATTTCAAATATCATTAGCTTCTCTAGTGAACCAGGTTTTGTTTTTATACTAAAGCTTGGCTGGTAATATTAAAGATTTTTCTATTTTATAAGTTTTGAACTGCAGCAATGTGAACTTGTTG